CCCTCCCCCAGAGTTCACACCACTCCCTACATATTATGGAATTTCAAATTTAATTCAATTTAAGTCATATTGGAGAGTCTATAGAATGATAGTTTTGTTTGAATGGCAACCATACATATTTATACAGGTATTATTATGTATAGACGTATATAGTACACCGATGACATATACCCAGGACTCGGAAGACAAAAAATATAGGAAAGGCCCTTAGCATAATGTTTCTGACTAATTTTTTTTTTGATAGCTGAAAATCCATACACCACCATTCACCTCAACCAGCACACTTAATAATACGACATCACTGTCCCAAACACACATATTATAATATATTTTAAAATATTTAATATACTTAAAACATGCCAACAAGCGAATCGGATTTTGTATCATAATATTATAGATTTTCAACCGAGTTGAGATAGAGAATAAGCGAGTTATGTATAATTCACGGACATACACAGTATAATAATACTTCGATTCGAATATTATTATTATTATTATTATTAGGTAGTTTAATATAATATAATTTAGCAGCGCGTTTCTCGACGACCTTGAAGGGCCAGTGTGGTTGGGTTTTCCGCATAAAAAATGTGAGTTTTTTTTGTTTCTGAGATTCTACGATTTGGAACGGGTTAGGTATACGTGTAATAGAAAATATTATTAGACAAACTAAGAATTTATCATAATTTTATTTTTATTGGTATACATAGCGACATATTTTTTTTTTTTCAAATCGAACCGTTCACACTCGGTAGTACTTACACATAATATACATAGGATATCACAGGCATTCCTCTTAGCAGTCTAAGCATTAGTACAAAATAATAATAATTGCAATTACGTTTCTGCGTGATGGGCACAAAAAAATAATTATATTGCCGCCGAAAGACCTGCAACAACAACTCGTCGACAAATACAATATTTGTCGATTTGTGGAGTGTTTTGCGCGTAAAACATAGTCAAACACGGTGTGTCTCTCTTGCAGTCTTCTGCTTTTCAAACAAATAACTTTAGCATAATAATTACTTAATTTAATAATAAAAATGTATTCGTCGGTTTTACTGTCATCGTTGCCCATAAGTCGTATGTTTAACACGGGCGTGAAGTTGGCCCCACTATGTATGTTATTATAACTATGTCAAAAGTGTACCAATATTTTGCAAATAATTTGCAACCGTTTTAACTGCCCATATATCTCTTTCCAACGCAAAAGCTTTCTCTCCCTAATTAATTCTCTAAACATTCCACAATTCCAGCCAATCCTCAATCTATCCTTTCCTACAATTCTCAATCCGTTATTTTATCCTTACTTAATTTATTCAACCAGGCTGGTTTCATAATTTAAATTAAAAAAAAAAAATTTGCAACCGATATAGAAAAATTTACAACCTTATATTTTTGCTTTAATCGCTTACTCTAACCCACCGACTAAAAATTTGATTCCGTGTTAACCACGAAGTTGCAAATTTTTCACAGAGATTGCCGAAAGTTGCTTAATTATGAGTAAAGTTTTAGGTTGATCAGACGATGTGGTAGGACTGCATGAATTTGGCCCCACTCCCCCATCAATTTTGGTTTTTAGCGATTAAGGCAAAAATATAAGATTGCAAATTGTCTTATACCAGTTGCCTAAAATTGCAAAATATTGGTACAACTTTGGTGTGATTGCAATAACATAGTGGAGCGCCAACAAGCTACAGTACCATAATATGATTTACCAAATAGTTAAAAGTATTCAATTAAGTCATCTAGCGCAACCAGAATTTTTCAACGATGGGTGAGGGACGTTAATGCTTGATTGAAACATTGCTAGTAAACAAATATTCTTAATAAATTATTTTATACAGCTCATGGGATGGTCAACCAAACTTGGGACGCTCTCCCTGGTTGCTCCACAGTTTTCACTGTGTGTCCGTGTGTTTGGAGGTTCATAATTTTTATAGGTAACTATCTATATTTATGTTTTTAAAATCATGCCGTTCACACTCGATAGACGATACTGTGTATAGTACCTATATCAACACATCAGAAGTATTTCATCAAAAGTTGGTATAGTTGGTACACAATAATAATATATTAGGCAATATTATATGTTTCCGCGTATAATAAATACATTTAGATTTGCTTAGCGTTTTGCGTGCGGTTTTGCAGTGACAAACGCGATGTCCTTCCCACTTGTGTTTTTTTTTTGAGTTATTATATAACAATTATTTGTTTTAAAAACGAAAAGATTTTCGTCGTTCTAACATACCTCCTACCTGTTGGCTATTAATTAGTAGTACATATTATGATCGTCGTTTGCCGGATAAACGGTGTTACCATCATTTTTTTTTTTTTATTATTATTAAAGTTATCAGTTATCGATTTAAAGCGTTACTATCATAATATACCAAATAGTTGAAAATATTCAACTACGTCACCGATGTGGTCACGCGGTTTATAATTATTTTTATATGGGTATATTGTTATACCTATCTGGGTACCTCCTCGGTGACCTTAGGTATAATATGTGTATTTTATTTTATCAAAACTTACACACCCGTTGCAGAATAAATGTATATAATATAGGACGACGCATAAATCGTTCGTACACGATCATAATATATGCAACTGTGCGCTTATGTGCAATGGGCACAAAATAATAATAATTACCTATAACGTAATAATATTATTATCGCCGTCGAGCGACTGAGCAACGACAGCTCGCCGCCGATTAATACACATTTCGATTTGTAAAGTGTTTCACGCGCTCGAAACGCCGCAGTCACACCCGCTATGACATCCCCTCCCCCTCCCCTAACCGCGGCTTTCTGATTTTCGCCAACGAATAAGTTTATTATTATTTATATTTATCGAAATAGATTTTTGACGGTTCCAATTACCTTCAATCAAACCGACGTGGCGCTTATCGAATCCGATTTTACACACGGTGGGCATTTTCGACGACCAACCGCGCAACAATATTACGATCGCGTTGTCGTCGTGACGTCGATAAAAATTCATGCTAATGATGTCGCTCGCCCGAGAAAACTTCGCTGCACACAATAAGTCTGGTAGTGGTGCTCTAATAATCGTGTGTGTCGTAGTTATGGACGTGTTTTCGTTTGAATACAAATTTTCCTATTGTAAGACTCACACACACACACCACGACGCAATAATAATCATAATTTATGCGGTGAATTGAAAATAGTATCATTATGTTCAATAACATAATATTTAAAAAATTATTAATAATAATAAAATCACAATCGCACGATGCACATTGGCCGCCGCCGCCGCCGTTACAAGTAATACGCGCAGCACGCGTATACCGGATTACAGATAAGTAATAATATTTATTATTTATATTATAATATAATAATAATAATAATAATATCTAAAATATTCGGATAACGACGTCGTTTTCAAACGATAAAAAGTATTAACAGCATTACAGCAATAATAATAATAATATGTTAATGTAAAATAATAATAATATGTAAACGCGGTACGGCAACGAAACGATTTTTGAAGCGCTATACTGTGCGGATGAAGCGGGGGGGGGGGCTGGGGTGAACGCGGTTACGCTCGCGTAACCGAACCACGTACGGCGTACATATTATTATACGATTTTGACATTGTTATTGTTTTGTATACATTATAAAACATAATTAGTAATTAAAATGTAAAATATTGATATCGTGCAACGACGACGACCGTTGTATTCATTTCGCATCGAACGCGCGAATTTCATTCTGACTTTGAGCATTTGTAACCACGAAAATACAGTATACGAACACAACGATGATAAATCACGTCGCCGACACTCGACCACCCATTTGGGTGATGGGTACCTCACCTCAGTCCACTCCCGACTCTCGCCGACCTATTGCTCACAAAGTGTAAACTTTGAAGCCGCGTCCGTTTTTTCTATTTCCGTACGCTAGCGTGGGCAAGACGCGCGCAGCAACTTGCGAGTTGCGATCGTCGTCGGCGAACAGAGATCGACCTCAAACATTGGCCGATACATCGCCAAGACAAACATAATATAGTTTAACAGGCATTTGTCAGATATCGCAATTGCAGACGTGCGGGCTGAATTTATTAATCGATTAATGATCACATAATTCGGTTAGCGGCGTGAACGCTGGATAGGAGGTGTTAACGTGCCGGACCAGACCTGTATAACGAACTAGGAACTATTTTTTCGTAGAATTTCTTTCACATCGCATCGGACGTGGAACCGAATTCTTTCGGGGAATTTTCCGAAAAAAAAATTACCCTCGATCAACGTCGTGCCCGTCACTGTTTTAAACACGCGTTGAGGATAGGTACCCCTCCAAATGTGCTAGACGCATTCGCCGAACGAAAAGCGCGGCGACGCTTGGATAGCTGATAATTGAATATTAACAATTCGATAAGACAAAACAATAATAATAATAATAATAATAATAATAATATTAATATTACATTAGACGATGAGCGCCCGAGAGAGGATGAAAAAAAAAATGAAATTAGTAATCGCGCGAGCGTTCGAAGGGCATAACGAAAAAAAAAACGTCGACGGCGTAGATTGTATAAGTGGCAGGAGGGCGGCCGGCGGCGACAGCGGTGCGCCTGTGCCACGGGTCGATTGTTGGCGGCGGCGTACGACGAGCGCCTCCCTCCCACGACCCCCGCCCGTAGCTGCAACACGCTGGAGTGTACGGAGCGCGCGGCGGTGACGGACGACGACGACGACGACGACGATCGTGACGGAGGCGGCGGCGGCATGTTCGGTTGTGGTAGTGGTCGGCGGCGGTGAGGGCGCGGTGTTAGTTCGGCGCGGCCGCCGTGTTCCTGTTTTGATGACGCAGAATTCCGTGCGCGCCGCCCGCACCCCACTCCGCCGTCAGACGTCATTTGACGTGGCTGCTACGTAGCACTCGCTTGGGCCAGTCGGATTGCAGGACCAAGCTCTCGTACGACGTAACATTGTGACTGCTGGTAAGTAACGGCGGCGGGCTTACGGGGCCGCGCGCTCGCTATATACCTTGTTGTGTTGTCATCACTCCCGTGTGTCTCCTCCGTACCTATCTCTCTCGCCGCCGCCGCCGCCGACGCCGCTGTCCGACGTCCGTCCGCGTCGTTATTATTATTTTATCGTTTACGTTAACGCTCGCTGTCACCGGTCGTGTTACGCTTTACCCGTTTAATTAATATTATTATCGTTACTCGTCGTTCGTGGTTCCATCCGGCCCGAATCTCCGACACCGCCGACGACACTTCCGTCGTTGCCGCCGAATCGTACTCTTCCGCGACAGTCTTACGACATATTTACGACTTCCAATAGTTAATAATTTACATCAATGTTGTGCTCACGACATCCATCCGCTGTCCGGCGGCGACACATCTGCCGTAAATTACAATATTACGACGACCGGCCCGCGACATTTTATAATCGTCCGTGTGTGTTATCACTACCGTCGTCGTCGTCGTTGTATTATTATTATTATTATTATTGTCGAGAGGCTTTATTTATTTTGGTTGTTTACCCCTACCTAAGTAGAACACGGACGGAGCCGATGCCGGATACCCGCAGAGACTGTCTGGCGACGTCAGAACTCAGTATCAGAAAACCAATTTGAATTTCGTAAACAAACCAAATGTATTTTTTTTATCATTTCTCGTGGCCACCGGTGGTCGGACACCTGACGACGCGACCGTATTAATTGTAATACCTATTATTGTGTATGCACTTCCGCGTACGCGGCAATCGTCCCTGCACTGCCTTGATCGTGTATGCCTTTACACTGCCACCTTAACTTAACAGTTTTTAAGCGCCATGATCAAGTGTTTTATTCGTTTGCGTAGGACGTAACGACGATCCAATCGTGTTATGGACGGTATGGTAGAAGAAAATGGCACTGGCGGTTCAGTTGACGCCCTCGTCTCGCAGGGTACCGGCAGTCCTATCGTCGTCACGTCGGTAAGTCATTGACGTCAAACAGCGTTGTTTATCTATAAGAGTGGTCTACGTTTGACTTTTTCACATTGGTAAATAACTGTCAACAGGTGCACTCAGTCATCCAGGCAAACCAACAGTCAGTCATCCAGACTGCAACGCATGGCACCATGCTCACCAAAGGCAATGTTATATTATTAAGCAAGCCGAATTCAGTTATACAAACCCCTCAAGGAAATATACAAACTCTTCAGGTAGTAGTATATTTTTATATTGTCCCAATTAATTGTAATAATAATTGTTTGTTCCTATTGAAATGTTGTAAATTGAGTGTACATGTATGAGACTTATTTATTTTTTTATTATCTGTTGGCCTTATTGCAATACTATATAATTAAATTTCTTATTACTTTTCAAGGTTGTTGAAGCTGGTAGTGATGAAAGCTTATCGGCAAATGAGGATAGTCCCAAAAGAGTACGCCACGATGCTTTAACCAGAAGGCCGTCTTATCGGAAGATCTTGAATGATATCGCAGGTTGTTTGATCTATCCGCGTGTTGTTTGTCTCCAAACATATTAAATAATTACTATTACATTTTCCGTTTAGGCGGAAAAGTTGAATCATCTGGTTCAGATTGTGATTCAAATCTTGACAGCGAATTATCTTCAAATTCATTGTCTGCTCATTACCAATCTGGTGAGTTAATGGATTTATAATAGTTTAATATTATACTGTATAATATATAGGTAGCATGAATTGGGTTAGTTGAGTTTTAATTTACTATATTATGATAGCCTTAACACACTTACTTTTTTACCTATTAATAAACAACATTAATATTAGGTTTTATTATTAAAAAAAGACATAAATTGATTATTGTTGCACTAGTGAAATTTTCATAAGTAATAAATATTTTTAGTGTGTAGTAAATAGTGATAACATAAATCTACAGGCTACAGTATACAATGTATGCATAGAAGGATAGTGGACAAAGTAATTGATTAATTGTTTAAATCATATTTGTGTCATGATATATTTAAATATTTTTCAAACGATTCAATTATTTAATAAACACCTAGTTGACAATACAAATTTATCTACTTAAATTATATACTGTTATTAAAATCCATATCACTGTTATTTTGTTGAAGTTAATTATAACTAAAAAAAATTTATAATTTTTATTATTGTGGTTTTGGAGTAGAATGATTAACTGTTTTTAAAACATTCCATTAGATTGTATTACAAAATAGCAGACATTACATTCAAATATTGAGTAGGCTACAGCTGCGGGTATGTTATCACCTATCAGTTATCATATTAAATTAAAAAAAGATTATTACATTCTAAACACAAATATTAATGACATTGTATTAGTGGGTTAAGAAATTGTAAGAAAGTATTTATTGTTAACATACAAAATCCTAAATCACTATTAATATTACATAAATACTATAAATTGTGTACAATATATAATTCACATATAACAAACATGGTTTATAATAAGTGATTTTATACAAAGTAAATCGATTCTGTTGGTTGACAACTGTGAACTGATTAATAATCTACTCATTAAAAATTAATTTTAATAGTAGGTTCTATACTCTATACTATCGAGTCTATAGCCTTAACCTATAGGTAAATAGGTACTTTGAAAAATGCTTTACAGTTTTTGACAAATACTTAATTACTATTAGCAATAATGACACATGTGTGTAATACTTTTACTAGTACATTATTCTTAACCTATCATAGATTATGTAATGTCTTCACAAACTCGTCAATTAGTACTGTAAATATGTAAAAAATTATTTCAATAAAATACAGACAATTTTACTCAGAATATGAAAAAAAGAGAAATAAAATTGATTCCAATAGAAATTAAATGAAATACCGTCTTTCCATCATTTGCTTTTTAATTTAAATCCTACGTCAGACATGTCAAACTCATACTTTTTTAAGGGTTTTTGATAGCAATTATATTGAACAATTAACTGAAAAAAAAATGTATACAATTTTCCTTTTATGTTTCAACTATGTCAGTAAGAGGGATACATGATGTTACCTTTTTGTCTAATCTTCTGATAAACTATAAATGAATAAGTATTGATTTTAATTACAATTTGTATAAAATGTTTTTTCTTTGATAAATTTTTATGTGCACAGTAACTATTCAAAATATTTGGCCCTGTTTGGGTTGCCCTACGTATTATAATAATACTGTAATACATATAGTATATACAATAAGTTATAGAAAACTCTTGAATATTTATGTGTTTTAAACAGTACAATTACTAGAGAATTTTGAATCACTGGTAAATGTTTTAATAAAATTGTTGTTTATATTTCAGTCCCTGCAGCAATTCAGTTAAATACTCAAGGTGAAATGCATAATATGCCAACATTAACAATGTCAAATCCACCATCTACGGGGGGTACTATATTGCAGTATGCGAGTCAGGATGGACAATTTTTTGTACCTGGTAAATTTTTAAAATACAATAATAATAGTCTAAATTAACAATGTTTAAATATGAATTATAAATATTTTTTAGTTGTTACCCAAGGAGGGAGTTCCACTTTAAATACAAGTTCTCTGGTACCTGAAGACCAAGTTAAAAAACGTGAAATGAGGCTATTAAAAAATAGGTAATTCATTTTATAAGCTAAGAGTACACTGTACATCACATTATGATTTTGTCATCACATGGAGAGTATTTTATAATGAATATAAATTATTATTGTTTGATTAGTACTGGTCTATTATGTGTGTGACACATTAAATTATTTATAATGAAATTCATACAAACATTTTTATCAGACATTTGTATAATTTATGTTGTCAATAGAGAATTTATCAAGTTTAGTTTGCTTGTTAGGGTGAAGAGATCACTAATACTTCTTTTTTAGTGTAGTGACTGTAATAAAATGACACACCACTTATACTTATTTCATATTATATAAGACAATAGTCTTCATATACCTTATCCCTAAAACTTTTTAATGCTCCATCTAAATATTATTTTTTCTTGGTCTTTTAAGACACTACACTTTTCATTACTTCGGAATTTAGTACAACAATTATTATTATCATTTTGTAATATATTTCAGGCTTGTTAAAGTTGAATTCACATTTTTCTTCCTTCCTGAATAATATTTCAGTTAAGGTATCCTAATGGTACCCATTATAAAAAATTACTAAAAGTAAATAATAAATAAAGGGTCATGTACAAATCGTAAATTTGTAATAAGTAGGTCAAACATTGGACTAGTGCCATATTTTTAATATCCATATAATAACAAAAAAATCAATATTACTGAGAACTTCTTAGACTATTTAGAATTTCATAAATAAAATAAATGTTTTGTTGCCATCTGCATAAAATAAATTTAAATCAGACCATCACGTTTTCCGGTTTAGTTAGGTAATACTTTTCATTACTTCAAAACACAAAAATTGACTAAAAATGTGTATTTTTGTTCAATTTGTCATGGTTAAAATAATTTGTATGTTTCATTATTTTACAGAGAAGCAGCAAGAGAATGTAGAAGAAAAAAGAAAGAATATATTAAATGCTTAGAAAACCGAGTATCTGTATTAGAAAATCAGAATAAAGCACTAATTGAAGAGTTAAAAGCGCTAAAAGAACTTTATTGCCAAACAAAGACTGAATAGAAATAGTTTTTGAACCTTCAAATTTAAGAGAAAAAACAAAGTACCAGTCATGACCAAAATTGCATGCTTAAAGTGATATTAAAAAAATCTTGTAAGCTCATTTTAACTTATATAATATGTTTTAATCTTTTGGTTATGTTTGGAATTGTGTAATTTTTAAAAATGGTTTATTTTTGTTAAATCCAAGAAATTAGTAAAAGGGTCAATTGTGCAGTTAAATGGGTGGCCAATTCCGTGTAAACGATTATTTTAGTGCATAATTGTCTATTACATGACATCACAGTAATTTTTTTTTTTTACATATTTTCAACGAATTTGTGAGCTTTTGTATTATTATCTATGCAGTTACATAATTTTATATTCTAGTGAAATTTGAAACTAAAAAAAAGAAAAAGTTTCTGTCTTTTCACAATATTAGTGTTGGCTAATTTTTTTTATTTGTCAACCATAAAATTTTATTTGGTAATGTATGGGGTTTGTTCTAAATTTAAATAATTGTTTTCCTTAAATTTACTTATTAAAATGTACGATCCAGGCAGATTTGGTTATGATGAATTAATGAACTATTTTTTTAAACATACAATTCTCAAAATATTAAGTTACCTGTATGGTTAATTCGGTTTAAGATAATATATAGATAGGTTGGTTTATTTAATATACTCTGATGTATTTACCATTTTTTAAGGATTGGTATTTGCCATAATTTTATTTTATAGACATCAATTAATGAATTTTACTGTTTGTTGAAAAAAAAGGGTGTTAATAAATAATATTTTACAGGGGAAACAAAATTAATGTTTCAAAAATAGACATTGATTTAATTATTTAAATTATTTAATTAATTTATAGAATAAAAGTAAGTTTTCATTAATACTTAAAACATTACTCTGAAACGGCCTAAACGGCAATAATGTTTCCACAGTAATGAGACTAAAATTGATTGCTTACTTCCATGTTAATTGATACTTTTTTTTATCTTAAAAAAACTTGAAATAATTCTATAAATTAATTCAAAATTAACCCCTGTTTGATGTTAATATTGGAATTGACTACCATTTATCATTTAACAAAATTTGAAGACCTCTTTGTGTATACATATTCTATATTATATAAATATATCTCGGTATAATTGTTAAAACGGAACAATAAAATATTTTCGTAGAAATTAGATATTTTTAATTTGTTTAGTGTATATAGTTATTTTTAGATTTGTTTTATTATTATTATTTTTATTTTAAAATGTAAATTGAGCATAAACATGTAATATTTTTAATGTAAATTTGTTGTCTATTAGAAAAAAGATTATTTATGAATATATTATAAATTTGTTAAATATTGTGTATGGTGTATAATCGATAATCATGTTTCATGTTTAATATATTTATATATAATATGATTATGATAAATATTTTTAATACTATTTTGATAAAGAAAAAACCGTTTAAATATAAAATGGATAAATTGTATTTAACTGTTTATATAAATGTAGACTAGATGGTTAAACTTCTTCAATTTGAACTCAGAAAATAAACCAAAGATAAAGAAGCTATTAACCAATTTTTACCAAACAAATTTTTGATTATTTATTTTTAATTTGTTAAATAGATGACTAATTTATATAATTTATTCTTTGTTTATTTTGTTATTCTTAATTTATTTTTTCTTTGTTCAGATAAAGGGTCAATGTTGTTATGGTAAATCTACTTATACTTGTATAATTATTATTTTTATAATCTTATTTGGTTTTATTGGTGTTTTTTTCCTTGGTTCACTTGTAATTTTTAATGGCAATTGTGGACGCTGGGTGGGAGGATATAAGCCTCATGGCAACATCTAGAAAAGTAAAACAAAATATCCTTATCCAATTTACAAATTGTCCTCAAGAATAAAATTAATTTACATATTTTAAAACGTGTTCCCGTGTTTGTTCCTGTTAAATGGAATCAAAATTCTTAACTAACTGTAATAATTGTTTTTTAAAATCTTCAATATATATTAATCAAGTTAAACTAGTCTGTATGAATATTTAATTTATATATCATCTGATTATTGGTGTGGATCATGAGAGTAATATTTTTCTATATGGTATGGATAAACCATAAACATATCAATCCCATATAATTCATTTAACACAATATGTAGCATGTATCTAAGTCATAAACCATGTGGATACACGTATATTTGTTATCCCATTGTAGCTCAATTATATGTTATAGCTATTTCATCTGAATAAATCATATTATAATTTATAATTATATATTATTGAAATTATGTAAGAGCGTAATGCACAAATACCATAATTTTTCAATGAGTGTACATGGTAGACTACTGAGATTCAATACGGAGACTTGTCTGTTTTGACATTGGTTATTGTTTTAATTATCACATGGAATTTATTTCATTAAAATAAGATAATAATAAGTAGGGTTGGGATTTTATAGCACTTAAAATTGCGTAAATATGTGCTTTAATATGGCCTTGACTATCGCCAAATATGCGTTAAAAATATGCAATAAAAACAAAATATGAAAAAAAAGAAAATTTATTAATTAATCAATGATCACATACAAATTTGAAATTATTATACGTAGTTGAGTCACTCTAGTCAGATTCCCGAAGGACTGTAAACAATTTACCCAATTAATTATTTAAAAAAATTTTAAATAAATAGTAAGCGATTTAAAATGTTTACCTTGAGTGTTACAACTTACATTGAATTTTTGGCCAGATTATCGAATTTGAATTTACGGAGGTTGTCTGCCAACAAAGTCTTGTACGTTCATTTACACAATATTCATCTAGTGAATTTTTCGGAGTTAAGACGTCACACGAGTATTTGTAGTCTCCGTCTTACAACCGTGTTACCTACGTAACATTGCAAATTAACGATCAGTTGATCACGTTGAGCTTCGTTAGCTAAAAAAATTAAAGTGAATCGAACTTTTACGAAACATGATGGAAATAGTAATATCCGTGTTCCAGTATGCATGTGGTTTTTTTAAGATGGTTCAATTTTTAGCAAGTTGTACGTATATAATATATAAGCTATTAAATGGTAGGTACTGTTAACTGTCCTTAACTATTACTTTGTTTTTAGTTTATTTTATTAATACCTATGTTACTTGAAAATGTGAACTAGCTTTTTAGTTATTTATGCTATGTTATTTCTAATGCTCATAACTTACATAAAAAACTGAATTATCGTAAAAAAAATCACGTAACATCGGTACTTGCAAGACGGTCGACGGAGACAACTAATGTCCCATTGTCCCAACATATGGCACTGTTGCATCCTCTTAAGAATGATGAATGCGATCAGAAATTGTCGGCCGAACTTAGTTACTACTGGGAAATTCATTATCCGAAGCAGCCTGATCACAAGAAACTGGCTTCTTAGCATTGGACTGCAACTAGCAATCCATAAATCGGGGGCACTAATTATAACGAACACAAGAACCTACAACGGAATGACTATCCTCGTTGGCGGAGAACAAATACTAGATCGCAAATCCTTCAAATAGCTCAGACTACAGATAGACGCCAAACTAAAATGTACGCAGCATGCAAAAACCGCAGCGATCTGCGATCAAAGTGATGTACGTAGTACGTAACACCAGCAGAATATTACCAAACATTATTAGTCTCGCCACACCGAGGAAAAGAAGACTAATCTTCTGCGCTGTCCAATCAATCTTACTATACGGGGCCCCAAACTGGGCGGACAGAATGAGCACAAAAGGCAAAACAGAACTCACATGCAAAGTCCAGAGAAAAGCGGCAATAAGCGTAACGTCAGCATACGCGACCATCTCCACTGAAGCCTCCCAAGTACTCGCACACCTCCCCCCTATCGATCTACTTGCAATCGAGAAAAGATCCATATACTTGGGGAAATGGACCAACGACACCACTAACACCAGGACAAAAGTGAGGGAAACCCTAATCGAGGACTGGCAATCTAGATGGGATTCTTCCAGCAAAGGAAGATGGACCCACAGAATTATTAAGAACATAGAAGCATGACACTCAAGAAAGCACGGGGAAATGAGCTATCACCTCACACAGGCCTCCACAAATCACAGGACACGGGTGTTTTGCATACTTCTTACACAAAATAGGTAAGACTCCAACACCCGGCTGTTGGTACTGCGTCAGTCCCTTGGACGACGCGCTACACCCAACACACCATATTTGAATGTGACTCGTGGTACCATTGCAGATTAAGACTGCAACACAAAGTAGGAGAATACATCAACCCCGACTCTATCCTCTCATTAATTATGAAGAACCAAGAAAACTGGGCATCAGTGCGGGAGTTCATGAAAGAAATCCTGTCCAAAAGGCAAAAGGAGGATGAAGAAAAAAGACGCCAAAAAATCGAATATCTATAGTTAAGACTTGTTCATATTAGGCCACTTACTCCAGGGTGGTTAGAGGCTCCCACATTTTTGTATATAGTTAACGCCAAATATTATTATAAATATTATTGTAACTGCTTTGATTACCAAATAAATGATGGAAATTAGGGTTGAAATGATCCGGGTCAGTCCCACGCTAGTTTTCGATACCACGGTCCACGATGTGTAAAAAAAAAAAAGGGACGATGAATGCGATCAGACGTTGTCGGCCGAACTTAGTTATAGCGTAATAAACACATTAGATATGATTTTTACGCATTTACACAACGCTCTAGTTTACTATGCCACTAATTATCTTTATGCCGTACTGAGCTATGATAACTGTTTTTGTAATTATCTTGGGATAATGAGTATAGCATCGTAACCTTGCTTGCGCCCTTTAGTTAAAAGTATGACATTCACTCGCTATACCGCCTACCAACTCCGGCCGTCAATATTAATTATTATATTATTTTATCATTTGGTAGTCATTGTCCTTTGTTGATATATAGTATAATAATGTTGTTAATATGCATACCTAATGAAATTAATACCATAGTATTTAATATATATGTCGTGTATAGTGTAGGTACTCTTGTAGGTACTCAATTTAATTAATCCAGGTAAAAAAGCAAAAACAAGGCATATAGATATAACTGCATAGGTGAATTGTGGAAGAAGTAAATTAATTTAAAAAGTCTAAAATAATAAATACACAAGCAATAAATAAATAAATCCAACTAAAACATAAATAAACATAAATATAAGTACATGCAATTTACAAAATAATGTTTTAATATTTAATCACACCTTCTTCGTATATTATGATTTACGACTGTTCAAAAATCGAACACACCGATTTTGCCGGCTTGTATTTGGGTAAATACATTTTGTAGACGTATTTCTAGTATTTCTACGGTCCTAGTGTGTCCTAGTTTTTTAATATTTCTGGAATTTCTTACAGCATCTAAAATATAGCACTAAAATACAGTGTACAACTGTAAAATGGCACAAACAAAAGAATTTCGATACATTTTTCACTAAACTTTTTTTCCGATTACCTTTATAAGTATATTAAAAACCAATATGGCAAAATTCAGTATAGTTAATTTATTTCCTTACACTCTTACTATGTTTTATTGATTTTCCATGTTTGTATTAAAAATGAAATTTAAGACTCTGAGTCTCTGACCGGACTGACCCTCTAGTCACCTTGATTTCCCATCCCTGATCTTGGTAGTTGGTGTCGAGTCCGACGCCGTAGCGGTAAATTAATACCATAGATTATATGAAAATATATTTTTATATTTTCATACAATCCAAAGTACTATTTACTATTTAGAAATTTTGGGACCCGAAGCTAATTTTTTGGTGAGGCTCTCGACCTAAATTATACATTCAGCTATTTTTTGCTTTATCGTTTTTTATATTCAATTTATTTTTCAGATTTTAAATAAATTATACCATATAAGTCTATAAGTTATAAGTAACTAGGTATTTAATGTTGATTCGTTTAAATAAAAATTAGATAAATGACTGTATTACAGTAATATCTATGAGGGCTCCTTATTATGTCGGGGCCCGGGGTTGTAGCCCTCTAGATCCTCTCCCATAAGTAGGGCTCTGATAAAATCTGGGTTCATACTAAATTATGTCGCCCGGCACTTATAGCTTCGGCAGCATTTTGCCGCTACCGCTGTAATGCCGTACCATTGAACAATACCGTACCCTACTACAACTGTACCGCCACAATGTGTAAAATATACTCTTTGGCACGTCCTAACCGGTTGTTCGAGAAACGAGGTTCGGACGGTTTTTTATACCAGCATTGAGTTACCAATAACGCGGTAATTCATCGTCACGAAATATAATTTTCACATATTTCAATTCCCCCTTGTGGGAACAATTTTTTAATTTTAAGCATGTGTATCGTTCAAAATGTGTATCGTTTAGTATTAAATTGTGGTAATTTCCCTATCAATTAATTTCTATAAATTATAAACATGATGTGTATGTCAAATTGTATTATCACGAACGCGCAATCTTGCCAAATTGTCGGAAAATTTAAAAGTTGATGAAACGCTTTGGGGCTGGCCGATTCTGGGTTGTGAAAATTTACTTATAAAATATTGTTGTTAAAAACAAGAACATATTTTACACACTTTCTGTAAATCTCGTTTTTGTTGAAAGTGAAATAAATTGCGCTAAATGGTATTGTCCACTCGTCAGTTACTTAAAGCCTTGTTGCCCATAAATTCAGGTACACAGGAGTAGGTACTGCAGGGTTTTATAAATTATATATGAGCGATATTGCTATAGACTATAGAGTTGGGTAATTATTCTAATATTTTTCATTTTTATAACAGCCTTTCGAACATCGTTTAGAGCAACTTTATTTTCTGTCCGTATGATGGTGTCTGATCCGATAATCAATCAGAAGCATCCGCTTTCAGAGGATGATGAGAATATTGTAACTAAGAAACTTTGCATAGAGCCAAGGGTCAAAAGAAAAAAATGTGCCATATTATTGGCATACTCTGGACAAGGATATTTAGGTTTACAGAGGTAATTATAAAATACAATTTGTCAAATTGAATTTATACATTTTATGTTATCCATAGAAATAAGGGTGTCAAGACAGTTGAAGAAGAATTGTTGCTTGCATTAAAATCAAAAAATTTAATTACCGATGAAGGTTTTGAACAAATTCAAACTATGCAATTTCAACGTGCTGCTAGAACTGATAAAGGAGTATCTGCTCTGCGACAAATAATTTCACTTTTATTACGTAAGTATTTTTAATATTTAACAACATCATTTGTAGCAACTTTCCATTCTATCTATGCTAAAGTATGTTTTTATGAACAAACTACTTTATTATGATGATATATTATTAATAATTGTATATAATTTAAAAATAATAAGCATATCTTGAAACTTACAAATTTTTGTTTTAAAATTATAGCTTTAAAATCTACACACTACATAATAACCTGTTTCATGCATACAAAAAAATCAATAACCAAATTCTATTACGATACATTTTTTACAATGTCATGCTAATTAATGCATAATTTCCATGAATTGTTTTAATTTTTTACTTAAAATTTATCACAATAATTGATATTTTTATTTTTGATATTGTGTTATGAAAATATTTCTTTAGAATACAATCTACTTCATTCCAATACCCAACTATGTTGTAAAAAAATTTTAATATAAAACTGTGAAAATTAAAGTTAAATATATACGTTTTGAACCAAGATAACGCATTATCATTTCTGCCAATTATAATTTTTAAAAATTTGATCTTTATATTTTATCATTTTTTATGAGTATAAGTTAAATCCTGATTCAAACTATTTAAATTATTTAAAAATTGTATTTTGTTAACCATTTCAGCCGAAGATGTAGATAAACAAGTTATTAATTCAGCTTTACCGGAACAAATTAGAGTTCTAGACATCAGAAGAGTAACCAAAGGTTTCAACAGTAAGAATTCTTGTGATGGACGAACATATTCGTACACATGTCCAACTTTTGCTTTTGCACCATCAGAAGCTACTATTGATTTTAATTATCGAATTGATGCCACTGTTATTGATAGAATAAATGAAGTTGTTAAGAGTTTCTTAGGATGCCACAACTATCATAATTACACTTCTAAAAAGTAAGTTAAAAAGATAACAAATTGTGTCAGATTTTATAAATTCATTAAACACAAATTATGTCAGAATTTATAAATTTGGATTTGATTATGTTCAGGAAACCAGGTGATCCAAGTGCTCAAAGGTATATGGTTAGTTTTTACTGTGATAAACCATATGAAAAAGATGGTGTTGAATTAATATCATTATATGTTAGAGGTAATATTTATAATAATATATTTTATTATTAGAACGGTGATTATATTTTAATTTGATTTTAGGACAAAGTTTTATGCTTCATCAGATTCGTAAAATGGTTGGTGTGATCATTGCTATTTGCCGAGGTGTAGCCAAGCATGATGTAATAGAACGTGCATGGCAACCTGATCGTCTTGATTTACCTATTGCTCCAGGTTTAGGCTTGGTATTAGAAGAAGTTCATTATGATAAGTATAATGGAAAATTTGGCAATGATGGTATGCATGAGCGTTTAGATTTTGTTGAGCTCAATGATCAAGTATCTGAATTTAGAGCTAAATACATCCTACCAACCATTATCAAAGTAGAAAAAGAAGAAAGCTCGTATCCTTTGACAAAAATATTATTCAATTTTAAAATTATTACTCAATAGATTCAGAATTATAAAGAATGTATTTTTATAAAATATTTATTCTTAGGTTATAAGAATCATAGACCATATGCATTAACTATGTATTATAGAAAGTGTATATGTATATCACATTTACATCTGAAGTGTATAATTGAACTAATTTTGTGTAGTTCTATAGAAATAGTAGAATACTCCCCCCCCCCCAATTCATAACTGCGTAACAACTCAATATAAAAAGACAATTAACAATTATGGTACAAAAATTAACCTTAAGTCATTATTTATAGTATGCAATTATGGCTTGAACAGCTACCATTACATACATTTGAAGTACGTACAGAGCATCGTCACTTGCGAACAGATATAAACGAAGTAAATAGTCCAGGATTAGCATCTTTACAAGCGGCTGCTGAATTAATTGAAAAAGAGGAACAGCATGCCATTGATACAAATGGAGAAGTACCGCCTGATAATCTTTCAACACTTGCAGATGCTGCTCAAGCAATGAGTTCAGATAATAATTAAGTTTGTAAGTTGATTGAGAAAGGAGTGTACTACATTAATACTAGCATAGATTTAATATATATTTATGTGTACAATGTTTAATAATGAATGATAGCATCTAGTTTGAACAAAAAAAAAACAATTCAGCTATATGTCAGATAATTAATAAAAAATAAAAATAATAACAACTAATTATGTAGTTATTATTCTATCAACTCTAATATGTTAAAACAAACAAAATTAAAATAACCCTTTAAATTTGGATCAATATCATTAATTGATGATTAAAACAATTTAATTAAAAACATAAATTTATTAAAAGAACCACATTCATTAAAATTAAGTCATGGAGCATCTTGAGTTAATTCGCCCCAAAATGAATTTAAAAATTGAAGTAGTTCCTCAATTTTAATTTAAAATGCTCAAAATATTAGCATTCTGCTATCAAGCTTCCATTTTTTTTATTTTTAGTCATAATTTTTTTATTTGAATTTTCTGTATCGGCCCATATTGTGTGTACCTACTATTTTATTTATATTTTAACAACAGAAACATGAGTTCCAAGTATTTTTAAATTTTAGAATTTTGATCTGAATATTCATTGAAAAAATCCATTATTGTACCTCGATTTGTATTTGAGCATGTTCTCAGACCTGGTTTATGGATACAAGATGATTTCTATTGTTTTTTGTATGTCCACCAAGTGTTAAATTTCCCATATCATAAAAGACAAAATCAATTGTTCTCAACTATTTTTTCAAAACCTTTCTACAAAAAAAAAACATAAACATTCCTTGCATTAAAATCTCATAAAAAAATTGTATAATATTACTTAGCATTGTGAAGGTCCAAAGTACTAATTAATATAGTTATGTCCCTATAATAATTTGAGTAACTGCAAGCTTTACAAGTAATAATTAATTTACTTTAAAATCCAGGATTATAAGAATGTAATGAGACTTCTAAAGTTAAATGTCTTCATTGAACATGTTTAATGAATTAAAGTTTATTAAGTCTTCTCTAATTACATACAAATTAAATAATGTTCACTGAATAGATACAAAAAAAATAATCCATTTTCAAATGTGCATGTGCTCTGTTGAGCATGCCATATTATTAAAATGTATGGTACAATAAGGTTTGACAATTAATTCAGCAATACAATTTTCATCAAACTTCTCACTTTTGAATTTTCTCTATGCTGCCTAAGGGCTAAGTACCATTTCTTATATCAATAGGAAGAGACACATTTAAATGATCACTGTTACTTTTTATAACTTGTATGTACTTATTGCGTAATATGCATGAGTTGTTACTGAGGTGAGCAAGATTTTTATAAAACAATTTAAGAAAGATCATGGATGTGCTTTTCGTATCAATAATATCACAAATTTAACAATCAGAACAAGTCCCAAAAAGCACAAATTAAATATATTGAGTACTTGTAACCAGCCATCTCTGCAAATAACGTTCTAAATGTGCTAAAATGCAAATTCAAGAGATTCCCATACCAAGTTTGAAAGATGTTTAAAACAATATGGCTACTTTTTAATACAATTTTAATTTCCATTTAAAATTATTATAACTTATGTAGATCTGTTCCTAATTTAAATATAATATTATAATAGGAACCAATCACTTTCCGTTTAATTCTCTATATTGAAAATTATGGAAAAAAAAAATGTGTGACATAAACAATTACATCTATACTAAATAATACTAATAATAATTGGTTGCTGAACATAGAAATGTAATTTATTCTGGAACTCTGGGTGCCAATTATCTTTGGAATGTATGTACTTTACAGGTTGTGCAGTGAGGATATACCCATGAAGATGAGCCTATTACTTTCTATAGAGGGGGACTCGCCGCCTGGACAAAAACCAATTTTTTGCTGTTGTACCTATAAACTAAAAAAAATGATTAATAATCATGAAATTAAAATGTTGAAAGATCAAAATTGTTAGAAATGTAGTCCTTGTCCTTGTGAGTATTAAAAAAAACAGATTTATGATATATTTATTATCTTGGGAGATACCTCCATTGGGAAATCCTTGCAGGACACCCTATATATAGCAGATATCTAAAAATAAAGACAAAACACGTTTGTTTTTCTTCTGCTATTCATATAATAAAATCTTGCCCCTTTTTTTAAAAACTACCGCAAGAAGATAATTCACCTATCAATTGCTGATTATGATAATTGTTCTGAAATGTATATTTTATAAATACTTAATTATATATTATGTGTGTAATAAAATTAACTGTTAGGAGTATAACTGTTGTTTTTGTACCCAACAAAATGTTCCTAACTAAATTAAATTGTCTCTTTGAATTATTGCAATTTTCTGGATGTTGGTAACTAATGATTTTGGGTAAATTTAATTTGTATATTTGCAATCAATGTTATTTTTTATAATGTTCAAATTGTAAGAAATGTATCAAAAATAAATGATGAAAAGTATTTTGTTACTTGTGCTTTCAATATTTTTTGATAGATTGAATATGATAAAAAACCTTTCATCATTATATTAATTAATATTAACGAACATTCCTACATTTATTTTTGTTATCAAACTCAAATCAGTTGTAGCTTTAAAATAGTAAGTTAAGTTAATAAATTATGGTATTTTCAATTTATTTAAGCATACTTTTATTTCATAGACAATTATTAAATCTTGGCCAACTTATTTTGGATTACCAATATTTGCTAATGATAATTCAGTTAATAATAACAATACTAATATATTCTTATTGTGAATGTGCATTGACCAGTTTTAATTCAAGGATGTTAATAAAAACTAAAATTAATTAATTAAAAATAATTTATTTAATAGTAATTGGGTTATTCGACATTGTATGATCTATTTAACTAAGAAAAAATTACATTTAATATGTGCATGAATGCAATTTTACTACATACTATTTATAAGTTACATACAGCGTGATCAATTTAATTGGTGATGTACTTTTTTGTTTTTGTGGTATTTAAATTAATATTTTAACATTTTTTGTTGATAAATATTAATTAACAATAAACTTTAAACGTATACCCTAAAAAATCAAAATAAGTTTTCGACTTAAAAGTAAAATATCACTGATAAAAAACTGTAAATGTTGACTGTAACACCAATTAATCGCTTTTACTCGTCAAGTATTCAAATACATAGATATTATATTTAAAAATATTCGATTCAAATTAAATAAGCATAGTAATATAATATAATATAGTCTTGAAGACTTAATATAGTCATGATAATTATATAGTTACTGTTTCTGAAATAAGTATGAATTCAAATAACTAAAAATTTTAACATAGGTAGTATATACTGTTATTTTTACCTTTAAACATCTTATATCTCTAAAAATAGAGAAACTGTACATTTGGAAACTTAAATATTTTAATACTCAGTTGCAATTCTTTTAATGGGAATGCCCCAAAAAATATTGGATAGCAATTGCTTTTTTACATTTTTAAAGATAATGTAAAAATTATTCTTGTTATATGATCTCATGTACACCCATACTGCCACATTTTGAATTACACGTTAGAGGAAGTTTATCAATTATGAAAAAGTAAATGCATTTATAGTTAACATAATTGTATTTTACAATTATATTCAATCTACCTTTTTGGAATTTGACAACAATTGCATAATAAATGATTGAAAACAATTTTAACTAGTTTTATCTACACAAACAATTAAATATAAATAAATAAAAATTAAAGTTTATAACAACAAAAAAATAATAAATATAAATTACCCAATAAAACAAAACAGAATTCAGTCTCATAAAATAAATTGAGCTTTATGAATAAATATCACAATATATTTTTATATAGTAGAAACAAATAAATAACTTAGGATAGGCATTGTGAACCGGCACAACTAGGAATATAGGAATAATTGTAGGATAACTTATCACAGTTGTAAAAATTTTAGAATGCTGTTCGTTTTGATAAAATTACATTTGGTACATCAATGTGACTTCTTTTCTTTTTACTTGCCATGATAATCGGAGATTGAAAGCCTGGAGAAGAACTAAGATATCCCTCATCTACTGGCACAAGCTTTCTGTGCTGCATTACATTTCTTCTGTAAAACAATGTAAAAATTAGTAATTACAATTTAATGACAATAATAAATAAAACATAAGACAGAAATGATGGTTGAAAAAATCAAAGGAAAAGTTTTATTTAATTATGATGTACCATTTATTGAAGTAAAATAAATATAGTCATTAATTTAATTGGTAAGCATAAAAAAAAATTGAATAAAAAATCTCAAATTGACAAAACCAATAATAAAAATCAAAAATATAAATAACGCTAAATGTTGCATAGAAAACATTGATGTCCGCTTGAAATAGTTTTTTTTAGTGCACCAGTAGAGTCCAGTTTATTAAAACAATAAACCCAACATCAATTTCACACATGTTAATATAAAAAATTCACTAAATAAAATGTATAATTAAAATAATTAAAAAAAATACCCTAATAGAGAACAACACTGCACGAGATCTTTTTTTAAGTATCCAGTCACTTTTCGTAATTGTGCAGTCCAACATGGTACCAATCCTAATGTATGCCTAGTAGTTAAAATAATACTAGCTGCAACCATTGATGGATTATAAGATATTAGTTTTATACCTGAAACACATAAACATAATATTATATTTAAAATATAAACACACCATACATTTAACTATGATTGATTAATACGACAATTTTCAATATATTCAAATACATTTTGGTTGGCTCTAAATAGTTAATTATTGTATGGTTTTAGCTTTATATGTCTAGGGGCAACTCGTTTAAATTACAACTTTAAGATAAATTTCGTTAACACTAAATAAATCTATTTTTTCAATTACTGGAAATATAAAAAAAATAACTGGGTATGTACTTCTTTAAATTTAGAATAATATATTTTGTAAAGTATGAGAAGGGATATGTTACTGCTTATCACAGTGAACGAGAAGTGAGGTGGTATGCTGTCTGATTGACAGACTTAATTTTCATATTAAACAACCTAATTGCAAAATTATATAGTACGTTGTATGTGAATCATAAATATTAAAATAAACTCAGGAACACCAATAAGAAACAAACATAGGTTAAATGAAAGGTTATCATACTAATGATGTTAATCTACTAGTGTAATAAAACATACCTGTAGTAATTATTAATAACTAAAAACCACATTTATTGGTTTCATAAAAATTCAAAAACCAATAAATCTTAAATTTCCAATAGTACTTCTCAGACTTAAAATGTATAATAAGTAAACAATATGGTGCAATTAGTAAATCATAAAATAATATGAATTCAGTCAAAACAAAATAACTTACTTTCCAACGATGCATCTTGGTATGCAATGATCATTCTATTGAATTTATCTTTTAAAATGCTTGAAAATTCATTATGATAAAAATCATTTTCACAGTAAAAATGGTCTTTATAAAATTCAATGAAATGTGCAACTGTAGGTACTGCAACATTGAACTCAAAAAACATTAAAATTTTCATCTCAACTTTACGAAAATGGGAATTTGTTACATCTTTACTAATGACATTTTGCATGGTTTTTAGCTTTGGTATATTTAAGCAATGTTCTTCAATCTTTGCTAGAAATAAAATTAACGCAATTTACCTTTATATTGATAGTTAAAAATGGTATTAACGACACTTACCAGCTAATGTTAAGCATGCAAAAGAAACTAACATGATAGTATCAAATTTTAAATCATGGTTATCCATAAACAAATCCATCAGGGTGACAGCCAAATGAACACATACATTCGAAATTTCACATGACTTGGCTATACTTCTAATGGTTTTTAACAACACAGGCCGCAAATGAATCTAAACAATGATCAAATAAGGGTATAATACTATAATGTCTAAATACTATCATTATATTATTAAATTTGTATTACTTGTGGCGATCTGGCTCCATATACCATCCTCCATTTAATTTCATGATACTGTAAATATGAATGTATGTTGTCACTGTATTCTGTTTCCCACCATTTATCAGTATGTCTCCTATGATTTAATGCCTGAAATAAATATTCAATTAGGCTAATATTAATTTACAAAATAAACTACACAAAAATAATAAGATAATAATATTATTATGTTTTGGTGGGCAGTAGAAACACACAGTAGGTACAATATCATATTGTTAGCAAACCTGTAATTGAATGAAAAACTCAATACCCTGCCCACAAATCATTAGTAATAATATTGTGTAATTTTTGGCGAGAACAAAGTCAAGCCCGAGTAAACAAATTGTTTTCAATCATGAAAGACTACACATCATGTGGTCAGGGACAAAAAAGCCAGGAAAAACTTCCGAGATTCTCTATGTAGAGAGAAGTAAGTCACTTACCATAGTATTATCCCGGAAGCACTAAACTTGGCAGTGGCGGAGACCCGGCCACGCTACGGCCCTGCTACAGCTGACGGCGAACTTCCTAAGTGTTTGTGAAATTTTCGATTTTTAGGTCGAATAGCCGCTGCCGAGACCAATGTTGACGAGTTATTGCGAAACGGTGGTTGTTGATTGCGGTTTGCAAAAAAAAATAACAATACGTTGGTAGGTATATTTGTAATGTTATAATTAAATATGAATAGTCGTCGTCGTCGTCGTCGTCGTCGTCCGTCTGCTAAGTCCGATGAACAGAAATTCAAAAAAAAAAAACACACTCGTCACTCGGGAATGCGGATTATATGGATGATACAATTTCGCGGGGTATGTGGATCCCTGGCCGGCCGTTTGCGGGCGACTACGCGAACAGACGAGTGACGAGTGACGAGTGCTGACGACTGACGAGTGACGACGGTCACGACTCACGATGTGCCGCTGCTGCGACGGACGACCCGGCACCACTCGTACCCCGTCGTAGACGTCGGACACCGTACCCCCGCCCGACCGTGAGTCCGTCCAGCTGGGGCTTCTGCGGCACAAAGGTGTATAATAATAATTCGATATCGTCTATCATGTTTTAGCGCAGTCTGCAGGTACACGATGCGGCGGTGGTGATTGCGATTTGTGACAATACAATACAATATTACTATTTTATCACAATTCAATGTAATAATTAAACAGATCTATAGCAACGGCGCATTTATATAGTATATACACGACCGCGGTAGGTATCCGTACACGCGCGAGATAACGCGAAACGACTGGTTTTACATCCGAGTTTAGCCGACAGCGACGATTATTTCCAGATGTATTTTTACGAATCCGCTATAATATGTATAGGACCCGCGTGCAAAATGTACTCGACAATGTTAAATATTAATATAATTAATGATTATCGTACATTCGTACGTGTACACGCGATTGCACTGCGAGGGAAACTTTTGTCTTATCGTCCCGTCTGCCGCGTAGTTTATTTTTAGAAGCGCGCGAAACGCGACTTGTGGAAAGTCTTTCTCGACGTCCGCGACACATAGATATCGCATATTATTGTGATTTCAGATCGGTGGCTTGCACAACATAATATGATATTTCGGTAGCCAACCTACCCACCTAACCTCAACCCCTAAAGTACCACCCGTAAACTTTGTTCTCAACCACGAATCGAGGAAAACCGAAAAAATTACCCGTTCACCGAGGTACTGCGTGCAATTAGGGTCTCGACCGTCATTGACCAGGTAATCGAAAGCAAAATAAAAACACAATTTTAGACTCCTCCGTAACACGCATTACGATGGTTGCGACACACCACCCTCGGGGGTAGGTATATCTGTTTGCGACAGAGGCTGGGGAGAGAGCCCTGGAGCAGGTGGAACAGGTGGCCATGAGACGGCAGGGTGTTGAAGACACTGAATCACGATCGTTTGTTCGGTTTCGGGTCTTTATATTATAATGTAGTCTTGGGCCTCGGGCCTCAGCATGAGGGATAGAACGTAGGTAGGTAGTTATGTCGGCCAGGTGGTGTGCAGAGACGTATTCGTATAGGTCGTACACGCTGCGATTGCTCTGCACCAGTTCTCCTTCCACTTGTTGGCTAGCCGGTAACCGAACAAAGGAAATTCATGCCGCGTGCATGTTATATAGCGATGGTCTGCGGTGTCAACTCGTAATGCGCGTTTGGCAAAACTACTGAACCCCCCCCCCCCATACATTATGCTGTTGTCATAGTGCGTTTCGGTTTCCCACACGAAAACAACTTACAGCATAAACATCGAAGTTCAAATATTTAATATATTATTTATATACTAATATATAATGACGTATCTGCACTATATAGCTGATAAATCACGTAAATTTGTTGTGGCTCCGGACTTTTAAACAAAGACTTTAATCTTTTATCTATGACAAAGACGGGCAAGTTTTTTTTTAAATAATGTTAGTTATATATTTACAATGAATCGGTGTAAAACATTCCGAAGTAAGAAAGTCCGGTATATATATATGACAATATTTAAAATAATATATTTAACTGAAATATTTCGCTGATATTGGTACCTAAGAGATTATTTATTTATTTCGTCACGTAAATCATTTAGTTACAATTTATATTAATACTAATAAATTGGAAGTTTGATTGTGAAAAATCAAAATCAAATAATATTAACAAATAATAATAATCACAAAATAAAATAAAATCATATTTTTCCTTTTACCTAACTATAGGTATGTACCAGACTTTTTCGCCATTGACTTTTTTTTCTAGAACTTTTTTTCCCCCGGACTTTTTGGTAGTATAGCATTTACAATTTATCTATTTATAATCCATACTAAGTGTACACTAGTTACATTTGAGGAAAGAATTACCAGTGACAGACGGTCACGTTATAACAAGAATGTACTCGAGTTGATGAAGTTGAGTGTCAAACGTTAAGAACGTTGCTTAACAAACAATATTGGTATTAACTATATCCGTAACTATAAAAGTTTAAAATTAAGGCGGAGAAAAAGGGCACATATATAGAGATTGTGCAACTTAAATTTTTTTATACGATAAATAAGCAATAAACATATGTTAAAACTGCAGTGTATACTATATGCTTTCTGCACACTATAACTGTAGCTGTTTAGGCAACTCCACGTGTCAACAAATTGATTAAATCAAGGAATAGTTATTTGTATTTTAAACCATTATACTAATACAGCGAGATTAAACAAAAACAAATTAATTATTTTTTTTTTTTTAATTGATCCTGAGCCCGGCAACTGTGGCCATTAGCTATTAGTAGGTACTGTAGGTTTTTGTATTGATGGTTTGTATGTTTTTGGTACGGTAGGGGGGAACACGTGTGTGTTTGTTTTGGCAGAATTTCGAATGGGGCACCCGTAGGTTTCTGCCATGCCCCGGGGGTGGGGGATGGCAGCACTTGCTCTCCGGTCACCGCGACTTGTCCGGAGAAAAATGCCGCCCGGTGGCCGAGGATCGAACCGCGACCGGCTGAGTCGCAGCGGAAGAGTCAGACCACTCGGTCACCTCGTCCCCCAAATTAATTATTTATTTGTTTAAATACAGTTAATAGGTACTTAACGAATTATTTTTCAATTAAACTAATAAAATCTAAGAAGTATCATAATTCATAATATAATAGATGCTTTAACAAGAAAATTAACAAACTAATATTAATTTCAATTGGCCATAGCCCACATTTGCTTTTAAAAATGTAGTATCGAGTATCGACCACATTATTATTTATCATCAACAACTCCCAATTCGCAGTCGTTGTGTCGGTAAATTAAGACTAGTTTTTGTTGATATATGACCCTCGACCGCCGGTCGCTTTGTATGAGAAAAGTGGTAAGGAATTAGCCTGATCTCATCCCTTAAAATGTCCCATGTCGATTTGATGATATTATATAATACAGAGTTTGCCACTACATAGGGGACAGGTATAGGAACATAGAAAACAAACCATACTCCAGCTAATTATTATATCGCTTAAGTTTATCCCGATTTAGACTTCAAACAACATTTTTGCAGAAATATTCAATACCATTATACCAATTACCAACCATCACGTCAATTATAGGCATAATACACTAAATTTGAACATATTGTGTATAATATAGTATAATGTTCATATTGTTTTTTTGGTTATTACTATTTTATTTGTATTTAAACATATTTAAATTTTAAAAATTAATAAAAACCAATTTGTATTAGTGTTTTTCGAATTATTTAGAAATGTAATACGTAGTAGAGTAAAAAAATGGAACAGACTTTGATTATTTATCATTCAATTTAAGGGGCCACATGATCAAGGTTGAGAAGCGCTGACGTATAGCCGTACAGACGTTTAACATTCGAAAACGAATAAAAAAACATGCTTATACAATATTATATTAAGGTTGATATCAATATATTAATACTATACAGCCATATAGGGTGCGAGGGTGGCCATCGTGTTTCCGCGTTAACCATAGCTTATAAATTTCATGTTTGTTGACTTAAAAACACGAAAAATGAATGCAAATATGTATGTTGAATATCTATGTAAGCGCCCTTAAAACAATCAAATACGACATAAAATGCGAAATTGTATAATAACGTATTATTGATTCAAAATAGTAATATTATGCTAAAATATATATATATTATTTCTAACTGATGATACATTTATTTTATTGAATATAGAGCGTTCGCATGAATTGTGACTAATTTGTGAGTGACACCAACAATTAAACTTATTACCTATATTACCTAACTATGAATATTGCGATTGCCTACAGACGTATAGTAACTGTAAAAGCATTTAAGTATGCCACTCTTATTTAGTGTGCACCGTAATAGAATGATAAAAAAATAATATTTTTATTCTTTAAATTCTAAAATTAAACAAATTACAATATAAAAAAATAACTTAAAAATGACCTATACCTTAAAGAAATGTAAAAAAAAAAATTATAGCCAAAAATCATTAAAAAATACAAAAATATTCAAAATAAAATGTATTTAAATTGGAATTTAAAATAGTCTTATATCTTTTTAGATTTATAATTTAGCATGAAATGACCAAAGAAAAAAATATGTACAGGCTCTACTATTCACACAAACGCCATAGCATACTAAACCTAATCTTATTTGTGAGAAAACCCAGAGGTTATATACTTATAATTTTTCTTCGATGTTTATTGTTTATCATCGATGTTGTTCGCAAAAAATACAAACTAACGTGAAACTCTTTGATATTTTCTACTGTCCCTAATGACGAAACTTAAAATTAAATATAGGAGGTGCTAAAGTTATTAATTAATGTATTATAGAGAGGCAGAGAAACGACTTTTGGGTGGTAAATATTTGACGTGCAACCAGAGCACAGTTTTATATTAGCTGGAGGCACCTGCAGTGTACCACGTGCCTATATCGGACCATAGGTACATTATAATATCGTTTAGACCGCGCCCAATAATTGTATTTATTTTTAAGAATCGTTGAACATTATCCAGACTCCAGAGAACACCACCACGATAAGGCGACACGATTCGGAGATTCCCAAATTGCCTTCCAAAAATGACGTAGAAAACGATATCGTTAATTGTAATAACTATATTTATATTATATTTACACGATTCCAAAAATTTCATATTATATTTATACACGAATTCGCATTATTTAGGGTGAAACGTTGCCATAACGCCATATTCGTTTTCTCTCGTTATAATAATACATTTGTATTTACTATAAATGTATTACAATATTAAACATATTATAATTTAACTGTTAAAAGAATTTAAAAGACGAGTATATATGGTACAATATTAATTGTGTAATGATAAAAATCTGAATTTTGAAAACTTCAAGAGCCTGTGGTAAACAGGAAAATAATAAAAATGTAACTAGTGATGACGGTAATAATGAGTATAGGTGAAAAATTAAGTCAGCTTTTATTATAATAATATGTCTATATACGATAGATTGATCTAATATCAAGCACAAAAGGCTTAATGATTTGAATCCAGAAGAACGTTTGCTTTTTTATTTTTTATTCAAAAATAGTAAATTTCAGCTAGAATTTTAGTAGATAAGAATTAGATACAAAGGGTGAAAATGCATTTAAAATGTATAGAGTGCTAAGAAGAACTAGATGGTTCCTTGCAATAGCGTTTATACGCTAAAGTATTAAAAAAAAGGTTAACATTTTAGAAACAGACCACTAAAATGTTGAACTTACTACTCCTAATAAAACAAACAGGTTCCGGTTCAGAAAAATTTCCATTTATTATACTAAATTAAAAATCAAGAAAGACATACATACATGGCGTCCTCGACTTGGCAAGCTTTTTTTTGCTTGGTGGCGGAACGGTTGACTGCACACAACATCGTACGGTTTAAATTATACGTTACAATAATATCTTTGTTTATATATGTCTTTTTGGTGCGGCAACGCTGTATTTATTTCATCATGCGAAATCGTGTATATAAATATTAAATATTTTGTGGAATCGTGTATGTGTGTAAATATTATTAAATGGTTATATTTCAAAAGATTAATAGGTAATAACTAGATATCCAGCATGAATATGTTATTAAAAATTATATATATATTTTTAAATGCGTAGTAAAAAGTTATTTATATTTAAATGCCGTGTACCCTTCGGGTTCATTCATTCATAATTAATATTTCGCTATTTGTATGTTTTTAAGCGTATTATTCATGCAATAAAAACTTTAAATACTTAGATACATTTTCTATTGCTTTCAAATTGAATCGTGTGTGTGTCTGTAAGTAATTTCCTTCAAAATAATGACTAATTAACTTATTTTTACCTGTTATTGCTGTGTCAAGTGTACACCAATCGAGGTAATCTCACAGGCTGAACTAACATATTATTTTGTCCATTCCAACATATTTAAATAATTTTTTTTGATAGTTGCTTGATTATTAAAAATATCGAAGTCGACAAAACAAATTTAACAGAATTTAACATTTTTCTTTATTCGGTTACTCAAAATATTTTTTTAATTTTTGGCGGAAATTTAGGAATTACCTACTGCGAAGAACAAAAATAGTCGAGAGGACGTCTCACCCGCATGACATGTGTTCACCATCTTACTAAAGCATTACATTTTGGTAACTATTGAAATTTACT